GACATTCCATTACATGGATGCACTAATGTCTTTAGCTGGCCCGCTGTCGATGGACATTGAGGTTGCAGTCTTTGGCCATTACTCACAGGGCCACAGGCAACATACATCTTTGCATACTTGCTCCACACCTGAAGCGGCTCTCAGCTGCACTGTCCAATATAGTAGCCACCAGGAACGTGTTACTAGCCACGTTTCAATTAGCTTGAATGGAAGAAAACTTAAACTTCAGCTCCTCAGTCATGCTAGCCACATCTCAGGGCTCCAGAGCCCCTCGAGGCTGGTGGCTAATGAGGCAGCAGTGGGGAGATGGAGCATTTCTATGGTGCAAGGAGTTCTCTGGAAGCGCTGCCCCGCAGGATAAATTCCTAGAGGGGAATTCTGCAGCCAGAGCTCCGTTGTCTGCCGTGGTGACAGACACTGCCGAACCTCCCTCTGAAGAGGCTCTCGCTATTTCTCTTCCCTGCGATCAGAGCTCAGAGAGGAACAGCCCTTTTCTTTGCAAACAACTGTATGCAATGTGGAGGGGAAGCAAGGTCCCCTGAGTGCTGCTTGCAAGGATGTTCTGTTTCTGCTGTTGGGGGCCAGTCGAACCCCCTGCTGTCCCCAGCTTCCAGCCACACGTCTGTCACCCGGAGTCTCCCCGCTGAGGCCTGGCTTCCTGCCCCCTTGCTGAGGGCTGCGTCTCCCCAGATCTAAGCCACCTCCCTCTCCTCCCTGAGGCCAGGGCGCCTCCACACCCTGAGTCCCGGTCCACCACATCTCAGGTGACAGTGCTGGTGTCCTGGCCCGTTCCCTGTCGCCATGACACAGCCTTTACCGGAAGGAAGACTCGCTTGGCCTCCTTCCTCACCTCCCACTCTCTCCCAGCCGCTCTCCCTTTGGCGGGTGGTGAACTCCGAGTTGCCAGATGCAGGTGGCCTTGCCCGGTCCTCATCTTGCTAGAACTCTTAGCCACAGCCGGCACTTTGCCCCTCGGCTTCCGAGACACCACCGCCGCCTCCTTTGCAGCCTCCTCCTCCTCCAGCATTTATAACTTGGCCTCTTGTCTTCCTCCTTCTCTACTGTTTTCCTGGGCAGTCTCACCCCCACCATGGCTTTGATTCGCATCATTTGGGGAATGACGGTCATGCATCTTAATTCCCATTTCCTGGTTACTAGTAAGAACAGCATCTTTTTTTAAAAAAGATTTTATTTATTTGACAGAGAGAGTGAGACAGAGAGAGAGAGAGCACAAGCAGGGGGAGAGGCAGGCAGAGGGGGAGGGAGAAGCAGGCTCTGCGCTGAGCAGGGAGCCCGATGTGGGGCTGGATCCCAGGACCCTGGGATCATGACCTGAGCCGAAGGCAGACGCTTACCTGACCAAGCCACCCAGCCCCAAGACTGAGCATGTTTTCATGGTTTCTGATCTTTGTGTTCCTTACAAAAGCAGGTTAGAAGCAGAGCAGGTTCCTGTGGGGACCAGGGACCCAGGTTCCTGTGCCGACGGGGCTACGGCAGGTGTCTGTCGCTGCCCCCTTCAGGCACTACCGGGCCCTTGTGTGTGTACCCCCTTCGCAGTCGGGCACCACCGCCCCAGCCCGCAGCCTGCGTCCACCCTGGGATTCTAGCCCCCCCCGGCCCCTAGAGCTCGGTTCCCCCAACTCTGCACCACACACACGTGGTGGCCGTGGGTTGGGGTCATGCCGTCCTCTTCTCTGGGCCACTCCGCTTTGTTTGGGTCCTTCAGCCTCACAGCCTTCTTCTCTGTCCCCTTCCCCAACTTCCCTTTGTGGCTTCAGCAGTAAGACTGACAGCTTTCTATCCCACAGCTCAGAGTTTCTTGCCTTAAACCTCTGGGATTCTTATTCCCACTCGGTTTTAGACGCCTACATACCTAACTTCATCACCTGTAAAGGAGCGAGCTTGAAAGTCCCTAACACTCAGTTTCCTTCTTGTCTAGAAACTTCCACACGCCCACCTCCCCTTTTCCACATCTGCCGAACCTGCTCTTTATTCTTCGTGTTTGACCCCTTTCTCTTCTCTCATCCTTTGGTCAGCTTTTCCCTCTATTTGTCTTCCTATCCAGTCTGAACCCCAGGACCCTCCATGCCAACCAAGCCATACCCCATAACCCGATAACCCCTAGCTCGTCACCTGGGTCTTGATGCTTTGCCAGCTTCCGATCCTAAGGGCGCCTGCTGATCCAGCTGCTTCTTTTGCCTGCCATCTCCAGAAAGCCTTCCCTAGCATCCCTTAAGCTGAGGGGGCCATTCGTGCTTCTTTTCTGGAACTTCTGACTAATTCGGCCCCATGTCTGTCTAGCTTCCTTAGACTGTGAGCTGCATACAGGACAGTCACGGCCGTGCCCGACCTGTTTGTGCAAAACAACCTATGTTTGCTTAATTCGGTTGAGTGGACAATTTCTGCCTTGGCAGTGACTGCTCTCGATCACTTGGCGCTGGTACTACTGAGATTTAAAAGCAATGTGTCTATCCAGTACTGGGAGAAAGGAATTGAGAGAAAGGATAAAGGAGCCCAGGGGGAAGGTATATATGCATTTTTTTGAATGGACACGTCAGAGTGAGGTCGCAAGGCGGAGGCGACTGGAGAATGGCTTCCCCTCAAGCGCAGTGATACTCTGCCAGCATCCAGGGACTCTAGTGTTAGGCAGGCTTATTTTGGTGGTGACGGTACATCTCGGTGTCAGGTGATGACCTTGGCTCAAAGAAGGGAAAACATTGCATCTATGCGGAAAGGAAAGAAGTCGTATTTGTCCTTTTGCCTGTGTAGAGGCTTCCAGTCCTGGGCCACCAGCTCTGAGCCGGTAGGAGCAAAGCTGAGGATGCACTCGTGGAAATGATCCGAGGCCCTGATGCCAGGGAGGGAGGGAATGTGTCACACAAGCTGATGCCAACGCTCTGTGCAAACTCGGGCCACACTGCCCAGCTCTGCCTCTTCTCTGCCCCAGGGAGGTGCGAGCACACGGCCCACCTGTTCTCAGGACTATGGCAGCAGGGGGCGGGGCGGCCAGCATTTTAAGTCAATGATGACTGCCTTAATCGGTCAGGCTTCTGTGACTGCGCTTTAGTCTTCCGGAGGAGAGGCCAAGACCAACGAAGAGGTAATAGTTTCAGAGAGTACGGCTTCACTGGCCCCTCGGAGCCTGGACACAGCACCGAGAGCTCATGATAAGGCAGCGCGCGTTCTCCAGCACACCTTGACCGTGGGATCTGGCGGTGGTGCCGGGCACCTGATTCTGGGCCCAAGGCCATTGATCTTGTACGGCTCCCAAGTGTCCTGTCCGTGCTTGAGCACTCCCTTCCATTTCAAAGCCCTCCTGTAAATAAAAGAACGTTTTCTAACATGACAGTGTATGGAGGGTTTCAGGAATGACCGAGGCCACCATTCTGTGGCCTAGGAGGCCGACCCTCTAGGACCACACCAGCCTGCTCCCCTCCCTTCTTGCTTCTGGTTGGGTTCAGCCACCGGGATGCCTGCAGGTGATCGGAGGGGGGGAGCAGTGAGGGCATTTCCTTCCTTTCTCGGCCAGGCCAGGGTTGGGCAGAGGCTGTGTTCCTCCTGTTCCTGCCCCTGCCCGCTGCTGGGGTGGGGTGGGGGGAACACACGGCTTCCTGCTCTGGCTAGTCCTTGAGTGCTCCGGGGTGTTTATTCCCTCAAGCCTGCCCACACCTCTGTAAAGAGCCCTCATTAACCTTCTTGCTTGGGCCCTGCCTGATAAAACTGTCCGACCGTCCTCTGTCCACCCGAATGAAGGCTAACCCGTATCAAATCCCAGAGCGGTTCTCAGGAGCTGTAGGAGCGAGCGCTCATGTTTTTTCACGAATCATGTTTACGGGTAGTTTGACGGTGAGATGGCGGAACTCCTTCCGGCAATGGCCTTAACCCGACAGGCCTCTACTTGTGTTTCTTTAGTCAAGGGTCACAAGTGAACCTTCACAGATCCTGCTGAGCACAGAAGAGAAAGCAGTAGGGAGACATTTTTCCTTTTAAATTCATGCCCAAGCTGTGGTCTCTGCCCCCCCGACCTTCTGTAACACAGTCACTTTCATAAGAGGACACCTGTGGATGAAGTCGCTGGAGTCCAGGCCGATCGCACTGCCTCTCTGTGCTCAGCCAGTCCATCCCCGGTCCCTGCTCACCTGGGAGGAACCGCGCTCCTGAGGACGCGCCTTGCTCCTTCCTGTCTGTGATGCTCTCCACCATGGCCCTCTCTGTGCCCGGAGAGGCGGGGTCCCTTCTGTCGGGTCTCTAGACCCCTCGCCTTGGGCTCCCGTGTGGTGTCTGGGAGCTCAGAGGCAATCCCTGAGCAGCTAGTCCGGACTGGGGCTCCCCACCGTCCACTGCTCCTGCGCATCCCTCCATCCAGCCAGTTTTCGAGAGAATCCCGTCTCATACCCCTCTCCCTCCTCCCTTCGGGGTCCCTGGATCTTGGGCCATCTCGGGCGCTGGGACTGCTGAAAGCCCCAGTGCGTGCGCAGGAGACGTCACCGTGGGGGAGCTCAGGCAGTCCTCCCACACCGCTGGCGCTAACTTTAAATATGCCCGTTATGGGTGGGATTTCTACCACCAGAATACTCCAGAGGGAGGAGGCAAGCAGCTCTCCATTTGGGGCCCAAAAGGAAACATCTGGGAGCAGGGAGGAGGCTGCCGGGTAAGCAGCGGCTCATGCGTACGTTTCCCCCTCCGCCTGAGGTCTCCCCTCCCCATTCACAGTCACCTCCTCACTTTCATTTTTTTTTTAAAAGATTTTATTTATTTATTAGAGGAAGAGAGTGCACGAGCAGGGGGAGCGGCAGCAGAGTGAGAGGGAGAAGCAGGCTCCCCGCCGAGCAGGGAGCTTGACGTGGGGCTCGATCCCAGGACCCCGAGACCACAACCCGAGCGGAAGGTAGACGCTCAACAGACTGCGGCACCCAGGCGCCCGGCGCCCTCACTCTTGGAAGGCCACAGGGCTCACTGCCCGCAACTCGGCAAGCCAAAGCTCACACATTAGGACAGGCGGCAGAGGTGCGTCTAGCTCTGCAGAGCAGCGCTTCCGGGTGGTGGAGTCTGTGCCGCAGCTGCCCTGGGGCTCCTCTCGAGTCCCTTCTGCACCCTGGTCTCCAGTCGAAGGGACAAGCGAGGCCGCCACGCAAGGGGGTCTCCAGCAAGCCCTGCTCTGGGGAGAGCTTGGACAGTGTGTCTTCTACGAGGTCTAGTTGGAGGTGGGACTTGCCAGGTTCAGGGACACGCTTCCTTTCGTCACAGCCTCCGAGCCTTCCTGGGGCGGCAGCCGTTGTGCGGGATGGGGGTGTTGTCTGTGATTGAGATCACTTCCACGCCGCCCATGGTCAGTCCCTTGATGGCAGACTGGAAGGAGCAGAAGGAACAGCAGAAATGCCATGGTCCCAGACACGATGACCCAGCACATCCACACAGGGCTTGGAGACGGACGGGGTGGGGGCTTTGATCCCTACAATCCTGACTCTGTTCTCTCCCCAGGACTCCCAACAAAACCCCTTCACCGCGTCCTCGCCACTGTCCATTTCTTTAGGAGCACCTGCCACTTCCCACCTTGTGCTTTACGATCTGAAAACCAAGACTACCTGTAAACCCCAACCCACCTTAAGCACTACCCTTTTGTAGTGTCCTGTGCCTGGAATGTCCCCTCCCTCCTCACACACCTGGCTAATGCCTTGCTCTTCTTGAAAAGTTAGTACAGATGTCACCTCTTTGGGGATATACCCAGTGGGCTCCCAGCATTCTGGGTATGAGCTTTACTGCTGCACCCACCAGTCTGTACTGGGGGGCCCACTTGTGACAGTCCCCCATGGAGCACCTTCCTATGCCCAGTGCCTGGCACACAGCAGGTGCTCCGTAAGTGTCTGATGAATTAAGCTCAGTGACCTGGGCTTGCTATTGAGAAGCACAGTAGGTTAGAAGACCAGAAAGAAACTTAAGCCGTCCTGGAAATCCAGGAGAGGGTTTGTCTACTCTCCTGACTCTGTGCTCAAGCCCCGTTTCTCTCACAAAGGAAGCACACACGCTGCAGAGCCTCCTGGCCACTTACCAAGCGCCCTGGGCCCAGGCCCTTCACCACCACTCGGACATGGGTCACGCCCTTGCCTGCAGCTTTCTGGAGAGGAGAGCAGGGGTTAGTGCTCCGGGGAGAAGGCACCCACCGATGTAAACGGGCAGAAAACAGGAACGGCAGTAAAGGACAGATGGTCACGGTGCTAGGCTGACCAGAGCAGAGAGCACCGAACATGTCTGATTCTGGATTTACAGCCAACTGTGATCCCTGTTAACCCGGGGCAGCACTGCCACCTGATGGAGATTTCCGAACATGGCTCACATTTTTCTCAGTAAAGGCAGAATTTTAAGGCCTCGCTTAAATAACCCACTTAAAAAGCGTTATCATTTTAAATCATTGAAAATTTTAAGTGTTATCACTTAAAATTTTCTTTCTTGATTATAAAAGCAGTTATTCATTATAGAAAGTCTGGAAAACACACGGAAGTCACTCAACCTACCATGCAGAAGCCACTATGAACACTGACATTTCAAGTGTATAAAATCTGTATTGTAATTTGATGATCATTAATACACAGCAAATAATATTTTGGGGCATCAAGCTTTGTTTGAAGGCCGAGGTTTTTCCTCAGGAAATACTTCCTGTTTGGCAGAACGTGAACCCCTGTAAGGCCAGCGCTATGGTAGAGCTTGCATCGGCCGGGGCCCCAGACCAATGACTCAAAGCAAGCAGCGCTCTGGATCCTCACTGGCTCTCAAAAACAGGGCTAATACTGAGCGTCTTCTGAGGATTTAAGGTAATGAATGTAAAGTGTCTGGCGTACAGTACATGGTCAATAAATATAGGAGCATACTGCCAATTTGCTTCTAGAAAGGTCTGCAACAGCTCACAATGAAATTGGTATTGCATGAGAGAAACAGACAGACCTCTTCAGATTGCCACCAAGGTTGGGGCATCGAACAAGAGTTGTGGGACACCACTGCTTTGAGAAGAAGCTTCCTCACAGCAGTCAGCCATGCGGAAACCGGGACACACCACAGAAGGAGCCAGAAAGAACACACACTTACCATGGCAGCGGCTATGCCTGCTGTTTGTGCGGCGATGCCTGTGCCCTTCTTGGCATTCCGGAACCCCTCCGTGCCACAGGAAGTGCGGGCAAGGGGCTGGTGAGTGGCAGAGACCACCTGGATCTGTGTGCTGGGGAAGCAGGGAGGCACGCAGGACATAATGACTGGTCAGGGAAGTAACAGCACTAAAGCCAGGCCCTTGCAAGCCCACGTGAGAAATAAAAAGGCACTCAGCTGCTTCCCCTTTGAGCTTCTCCGATGAATGCTTTTCGAACTCCTACAGGAGGTGTCAAGAAAGGCCAGAATCACCCCCTAAACCTCATCAAAAACAGACACGTCATATCATCTAAGGACTGCTCTGTATGGACTGTATGCTTGTTTCCCCCCAAAATTCATGTTGAAATCTTAACCCAAAACCTGATGGTATTTGGAGGAGGGGTCTCTGGGAGGTGAGGAAGTCATCAGGGTGGAGGTGGAGCCCTCATGAACGGGGCCCCAGAAAGCTCCCTCGCTCCTTCCATCATGAGAGGACACAATGCAAAACCGGCCACCTGAGACTCAGAGGAAGTCTCACCAGAACCCCCCAACGCTGGCTCCCTGCTCCTGGACCTCCAGAACTCTGAGGAATCCACGTCCGTTGTTTAAGCTCCCCCGTTTGTGGTATTTTGTTTTAGGAGTCTGACTAAGACAAGCTGCAGAATCCGGGGTGGTTAAATGTCATCCAGAAGAAATATCTAAGATGTGATACCCTTGTCGGGCTTTTTTTCTAAGAAGTTAGGTGTTTCACATCAGGTAATTAAAAAAAAAAAAAAAAAAAGGCTTTCGTTAGGGAAAGTTTCAAATATACCCAAAAGTGAACAGAAGAGTATATGAACACCCATGGACCCACCGCCCAGCTTCAGGAATTAACTCCTATCCAATTTAGTCTTGTCTATAAACTCTTGTTTCTACTCCCTTCTTCCCCCACAATGGGTTATTTTGAAGCAAATCCCAGACCCATCATTTCATCAGTAAATATTTCAGTATATATTTCTAAAAGATAATGACTTAAAAAAAATCCCATAAAACCATTATTATACCTAAAAAAGTGAGCAATATTCCCATACTGGATCATTTTAATGCTAATGACACTCTGTTCCATGATCACAAAACTTTTTTTAAGTGAAACTTTTCTAGTCATCTCTGACTTCAAGAAATACTTAGACATGCTTTTTATTTCCCCTTGGCCAACATCTCTGAATCTTTTGGTCTGAGGAGCTCCCTGAGGACTCTGGTCAAGAGGGAGGTAGAGGAGCCGTGCCAGGGAGGCTGGTGGGCGGACCCGGGTCCGGACCGTCTGCTTGTTGGCCTGGCTACCACTGCCCTCTCCCCCTGGCAGGGCTCCCCGGGTTTTCTGTGCTGAACAGAAGCGCAGGAGAACTGCTTGTCCCTGACACAACTTCAGCAGAGGTGCTTATACAGAGAGCGCTAACCTATGTCCTTATTGGCCTGAGAAGGGGAGAAAAAGAAACCCAGCTGCTCTCACTTCGAGCTTGTCACATGAATGCTGGATGAATCCTCTGGCATCTCAGCTGTGCTCCACACGCCATCCCTGACCACCGACAGTCCCTTGTACAGTTCTCTGAATCGCTTCCTGGGCAGGCTGTGACTAAGCAATGAGCCCAGCTCCCAGTGGGGGCCGGCCTGCAAAGCTGTCCCTGAGGTCAGCAAGGTTTCTGTTGCCAACATGCACCTGGGAAGGCCCCGACACTCATCTGGAAGTCACGCACTGAATCACGACTCTGTGTAGCCTTATGAGGTTGGAGGTCAGTGCACAGTGGCCCAAGGTGAGTGCTTCAAAGGGACAATACTTACAGATTTATATTTTGGTTAGTTTGTCAATAAATCATAGACTCTTAAGCCACCTCTCTCCTGTATATCTCGTCCATCCTCTGTTCCCCAGTACCCAGTAACACATAACACATGCACCCTAATAAACACTCTCTCCAACTTTTGAGCAGAACTAGGAAATACTAGTCCTAAGGCAGGCAGAGACATTTTCATGAAATCTGAAGAAACTTTATAAAGACAGAGGTGGTTTCCCAAAACGAGGAGGGGCGCCAGGGGACCCCTGTATCAACAATACTGTGTGGAACGCAGGCCCCTGGGCTTGCTCTCCCCCATGAAGGAGAAAGAAGCCCCCCACCCTGAGATCTGCCCAGGTGCTCCTTCCACTTACTTGTTGTAGGACGCTTTAATGTGTGCGATTGGGATCTCCTCAAATTTCTTTCCTGCCCACCTCAGAGGGCTCTCCTGTCCTGGAACTGGAGGGTAAATGCTGTAATTAAAGAAACACTTTAGGTAAATCCCGATTTTTTTTGTTTTAAGTCAATGAAAACCAGCAGCCCTGCACCCCGGACCAGTTCCTGGGGTAGCTACCCCCAGTCGGTCTGGTGCCACTGCTGTACCCACGAACACTGGGCCGAGGCGGTCTTTTCTCGAGTGTCAACTCTGGACACGCCTAGTGACTTTCCACTAGGAGAAAAAGAGGATCTAATCCACTCTCCCTATCTTCCTGTGTCCCTTCTAGTACATTCAGATCAGTATTTTCAATTCTCTATGGGACACTCTGCGAAAGAAAGAAAAAGAAAAAGAAAAGAAAGAAGAAAGAAAGAAAAGAAAGAAAGAAAGAAAGAAAGAAAGAGAAAGAAAGTCAAATCTCTATTTCTGGTTTCAGATGTATCCTGACTCTTTTATAAAAAAGGACAAAATAATTTTAATAATACTTACAGTATCATTACTATAAAAAAAAAAATCCAGTATCCCCCATGATAGAAGTCAGCAAGCCTTTTCCGTAAAGGGCCAGACAGTAAATACTTTAGGGTTTGCTGGCCACGGAGTCTCCGTTCCACTACTCAGCTTCGCCTCTTGAGTGCAAAAGCGGCCGTAGACAACAGTAAGTTAACACGTGTGACTATGCTTCAGTAAAACGGTATTTACAAAAAACCAGGCACATGGCCAGATTTGGGTAGCACCCAGTTTGCCAACCTCTAGCCTAGACCAGTAGCATTCCGTGCTGGCTGAATGGCAGAATCTCGTGATTCTGATGCTTAATCCCCACCCCTCACTTCTGGATGGGGCCTGAGAATCTATTCCTAATCTATCCCTGGTGAACCAGATGCGAACCCGGGGTTGAGAACATCGATGTAGGCATTGTGCTGAGTTCAAGATCTTTCTCTATCTCGGTGTAATCTGTCCTCTGGCTACCTCTAGGTCAGGACTCTTTGTGTGCAGGTGGAGAAACTGAGATGCAAATAGGAGAACAGGGTCAGCAAGGGAAGCCAGGCTTTGGGCCTACGAGACCTGCCTCAATTCAAAGCCCAGTCTGCCACGCTGTCCTTCCTTTTATTCAAACACACAGTTGTCCTTCAGCATTCCAGACGTGAGTAAGCCTGCTGTTGCGTCCTGCCTACACGCACCAGACCCGTGTTTATACCTTCTCATGCCTCTTGAAATTCAATGGACTGCGGTTTAGAAAATACTCTATTAGAAGAGAGGCATCCTGCCACCAAGCCCCACCTGCTTTCCTAGGGATATTTTTTAAAAAACAAAACAGAAAATAACACAATGGTCTTCAAGAGTTACAAGTGTGTTCCTCCCTGCTAGGCCTGGTCTGGAGATGATTCGGCCCCGCAGCAGGCTGCCGGCTTTTCAACCTACAAACCAAGACGGAAAGTAGAGGCTCTGAGTGGACATCGTCATTTCCCCGGGGGTCATTTCCCCTACTGACCCAGGGAGGGGGGGCGGTCCAAAAACTAAGCCGACGAAAGTCTGACCATGCTAGTTAATGCCTTCATGTACAGCAAGGGTTCCGAACTCGGGAGGATTTGGACCTTGAACCATTTAATTAAAGGCACAGACAAGATCAGGCCTCTAAACTGACCAGGTCCAATGTACAAACGAACGAGTGGTTCACCAGGGGGAAGCTCAGACAAAGGAAAGACAAAGCCCTCCGCCCACTGGTCTGCTGCCTCTTCATACCCGTGCTCACAATCAGGAAAACGGAGGGGCCAGGACACATGGTGTCTCTTCGGAAGGGCTGAGGACTGAAAACAGCCTCTGCTCTCTCCCGCTGAAGGTCTGGAAGGGAGGGCTGACTTCCACCACAAGCAGCTCAGGTATGGGAGGGAGGGCAACCACCCCAAACGGACCCTGATAGTGCGCCAGACGCTGGGACCTGGGCCGGGTCCGCTGTAGTTCCATCTCCAGATAAAGAAAGCCTGGCCTCGCGGTCTGCAACCCACTTTCTAATTGTGGCTAGAGATGATTTTTTAAAAATGCAAATAAATGTAGAAAAATGCAGTGTTGATAGTCCTGGCTCACCACTCCTGTCATAATTATACGCATAGCTTCCGTAAGATCCTTCCAACTGTATGGCTTCTGTTTCTTGCCTCCTTTTCTGCAATGATCCTGTGTCCTCTATCCTAGCCTGGCTACTTCCTCCTGTGGTCATACCTGGCTTTTGTCATTGCCATGTCTGCAACCTCATCATGACCTTGGTTTCAAGCAGCACCTCCAGGCACACCCATGCGACCCCCACTCCAGGAACCCTTCTAAGCGCTCTGATTCTCCCACTGGTTCACTTTCCCTCACCACCCCCAGGCCTTCTCTTCTCTCCTGGCCTCCAGTAAGTTTCATGACCAAATCACTATCATCGCTCCCTTGCATACCCCCTCAGTCCTCCGCCTCCTCTTACTTCATCATACCTTCCTGGCACACCCCAGCTCTGGCTGAATCCATCTCTCCAGCCACTCTGAGCCTGGGCATGCCTCTGCACAGCTGGCTAGAGAAAAGGCCACACCAATGGTGACTGGTCTCTCTATCTAGCATGGTTTCTCAACTTCAGCACTACTGACATTTTGGGCACGATAATTCTTGGTGGTGAGGGGCTGGCCTGTGTGTTGTGGGGTGTTCAGCAGCATCCTTGGCCTCGACCCACTAGTTGTCCCTCCACTGTCCTGAGTTGTAACAACCCCCAAATGCCTGCAGATCTTGTTGAAAGTCCTCTTGGAGGCCAAATTGCCCCAGTTGAGAACTACTGCTTTATTTTGATGACTTCTAACATCAAGTGGGCCCTCGGCACTGGATGCATGTCCCCAATTCAATTATCCTTCCACTCTCCTGGATGACTACTTTATACCTTCCTTTGTCTACTGAAGCCTCCACCTCCCTCCTGTCTCCTCACGGCCAGCTGATGACCTCCGTAGAGAAATACAAGCAATCAGAGTTTCTCCCAGCTTCCACTACCAGACATCTGTGCCCACAATCTTTGCCTTCTCTCCTCTTATGATGCTCCACTTGTCAAGGACATCATTCCAGCAATGTTTCTACCCCGTATCATCCCATCAGCAAAACATGCTGTCATTTCCCCAACCTAAAAACAAACAAAAACCTCTTTATCTCAAAGCCTTCCTGAGCTATTGCCCATTTCTCTACTCCCTCTCAAAGAACTGACTACACTTGACGTTTCTTTCTGTCTTCTATTCTCCTTGAACTCACTCCAATCAGACTTTAGCCCTATTATTCCGCCAAAAATGCTCTAGGCAAGGTCACCAACCAACTCACCATGTTAAATCCAATGAGCAGTTCTGTCAACAGCACAGTGACTTATCATAACAACATCTGACACAGCTGATCTCTCCAGCTTTGAGCTACATTAAAAAAAAAAAAAATCCCTCTATGTTTTATTACTACCTCTCAGGAGTTTCCGTCTTTGTTTTTTTGCTGATTTTTCCTCATCTCCTAAATTTCTAAACGTTAGAGGGCTCTAGGGGTCAGTCCTTGGACCTCTTCTCTTTATCTCCATTTACTCTCTTGATGATCTTGTACAGTCTTGTGGTTTTAAACATCATCGATATGATGAATCTTCCAAATATGTGTCTCTAGCCCCGATCAGTCCCCTGAACCCCATTTCTAAAAGCCTACACTGTGTCTCCATTGGATGTTAATTTTAAGCAAAGCCAACCTCCTGCAGCCTCCCCCATCTTAAGAAATGATGACTCCACCTTTCCAGCTGCTTAGGCCGAACATTTTACTGTTCCTTCCTTCCTCTCCTTTTCTCACACCTTACATGAACACATCCTGTTGGCCCCACTTTCTGTATGTCTTCCTCCAAAAGCTGTCATCCTGGTCCAGGCCACCATCATTTCCTGCCTGGATTATTTCAGAAATCTTCTAACCTCTTAGAAGACGTCTCCCAGCTTCCATCCTTACTTCTCTACAGTTCAATATTGACACGGCAGCCAAAGGGACTCTTTAAAATGAAGCAACGTCATTTCAACCCTCTATTCAAAATTCTCCAGCGGCTTCCCATCTCACTCTGAGTCAAAGCTGAAGTCCTCACGAAGTTCTACAGGCTGGAACAGAGCAGCCCCGCGTGTCTGCTGCACCACTCATCCCCTTCCCCCCATCTCCTGTTTTACTCCTCACTCCACACTCACCTCCTTGCTATTCCTCCCAAACACTAGACACTCCCTCACCATCTGTCATACCCGCATGTTTTATGTGTTTTCTATTTGCTGCCCCCTATCCGCTAGAATTTAAGTTCTACGGGGGCAGGGTGTTTTGGGTGTTTGGTCACTGATGTGTCCCTAATGCCTTAAAACAGGGCCTGACGTTGTTGAATGACTCCAACAGGATCTTGGCTTAAATTCCTTTAGGAGCTCCCCACTGTCTACAGTGGGAAGAGTGTGAAAGTCGCACTGTTACAGATAAGACCTTCAGCTTTCTGATTCCTTCTCTTGCTGGCCTCATCTGCCATCACACACACAGCTGAATATACCATATGCTTTCATACTGCATGCCTTTACACAGAATATTAGCTTTGCCTAAAATCATCTCTTTCATGTTGTCCAGCTGAACTCTCATTCAGTTCAGTTCTTAGCTCCACACTATCTTCCTAGCAGTCTTGCCTGATTTCCTCAGGAGTAAGACACTCATTCCTTCATACTTCCAAGCAACCAGGTCTTACCTCCAGTACACTACTGACCAGATTATGCTGAAAATGCTTGCATGTCTGTCCTCCCCGGTAGCCTGTGACCTACTCGTGGGGGAAGAATGATCTTTTGTATTTGTATTCCCAGTACCTAGCACTAGTGCCTGGCGCCCAGCAGGTTTTCAGTAAACATTTGTTAAATGGATGTGAATGCACATAGGGGTGGTGGCACCGATGGAAAGCAAGGGGCCAGTCCCTAGGGCTGAGCACAAAATCCACCCTGCTCCAACTCAATAATCGACACCACAGCGTAGCGCCCCCTGCCCCCCAACTCCCATTTTGCATCCGAGGCCCAGGGAAGGTTGTTAGTCTGCCGCAATACCCCTCTCAGAGCGAAAAAGTGATATTTACTATACACCTCCGACATTCACTCATTCATTCATCAAACTGTTCACAGAGCGCCCACTTTGTGCCAAGGTTCATCTCATTTGATCCTCGCAAACTCTCTCGGCATCCTTTCCATTTGTAGACGAGAAAGCTGGGGCTCAGGTACTAATTTGCATAAGGTCCCAAAGATGTCAAGTGGCAGAGTTGGGAATTCACTGGTTCTCGGGCCCTGGACGGCCGTGCCGGTGTCCCGAGGGCTGGGCTTAAGTGGCCCTCACCTGAAGCTGCTGCGGCTCGAAGCCGGAGCCGCCGCCTTCTCCTCAACCTCCTGACTGGCCGCCGCGTCTTGCAGCTGCTGGGCGCCGGTGTGGATGGTGGAGGCTGGCGCCCCAGCCACGACCCTGCGGAGAAGAAAAGCTCGGTGAGGTCAGGCTTAAAGGCCACTGCAGTCCAGGCGGCTCAGGGCTCAGGGACACAGGCAGGAGCGCAGTCGCGTGTGTGTGTGTGCGTGCGCGCGCGCGTGATCATTCTTACCTGGGCGGCGGTGGCCAAGCCCACCACCGCAAGAGCCAGGACCCCGTCTTCCGTACCACCTGCATGACTTGGCTTGACCCCCGTCAGCTTCCGTCCGCGGCGACCGCGGAACCTGGCTCAGCTGCAGCGGCGCCCCGCACCACGAGCGCTTGTGGGGGACGGCGTAGAAGGAAAGTCATCTCATTCCTCTTCATAAGGTCCACTAAAGATTTTTATTCCCATTTAAACGCTCTACAATAACTATCGTTTCGAGTGTCAACTGGAAATTTCTTCCCTTTCCCCTAATCTTCTAACATGATATCTTCGCCCACCCCTCCATATTGGAATGGTTCGTTCTAATTGGTCACCGGACAGAACTCTTTCCGTCTTGCCGCTCCCGCGCTGCCTTGTGGGAGCCTGGGATTGGCCCAGGAGCCCGCAGGGGGCCGCGGTACATTGTGGGAGGGTAGAAGAATGGCGGCGTCCGTAAGGCAGACTCTGTTTGGGGTGGCGAAGGGCTGGCGGCGGTTCGAGGGGCTCTGGGCCGGTAGCCTGGGTTTTCGCAGCCTGGCCGTTGCGGCTGCACCCTCGAGCAGCGGGTCTCCATGGCGCCTTTTGGGCGCGGTGTGCCTGCAGCGGCCACCGCTGGTCTCGAAGCCGCTGACTCCATTGCAGGAAGAGATGGCGGCTCTACTACAACAGGTAGGATTGAGGGGCGGCTAGCCGCTTCGAGGTCCTGTTGGGGAACCAACAGAAGCACGTGGGCCACGGTTCGATCCCGATTCCGGCACCGGTCTGAGTGACCTCGGGCAAGTCACTTCACCTCTCTGAACTTCAGCGTACTCGACCTGAGCATCGGTGTCCACCTTACTGGGTTGGTTTGGTACATAGAAGGCGTTCAATAAGTTTGTTTTCATTGGCTGTCTTTGTTGTCACGTTAGGCAACCCTTTAGAGTTGCTTTTCTTTTTCATTGAACACACTAGGTATGCGGTGGTGAACAAGACGACTTAGTCCCTATCGTAGGTAGTCGATAATTTAGAGAGGAGAGAGTCTGTGATGTGGTGTTTTAGGAGAAGGTAGTGGGCACATCTATAAGATGACAGTGATAAAGTCTGTCTGTGGGAGTGGCAAGTGAGGAAACGGGCAAATATTCAGTGTAGTGGCCGTGAGGGGCTCAAATCCCAACAGGTAGTGATTGAAGGTTGCTGTTTCCCTAGAGTCTGAGATGTTTTTTGTGTTGGCTACTGGGAGCTCTAAACTTTGCTTCGTACTTTTTACTTGGTTTATAAACTTATTCTGTAAATAGCTTATTTTATAGATAATCGTTTATCACGTGTTTTGTGTAGACAATGTGCTAAGTGCTAGAGATGAGTAAGACAGACATGCCTCTGGTTCTCAGAGTGTTCAGTCTAGTGGAGGTGGGCTAGTCAATAACCAAATAATCATATGACTGTATAAATGCAGACCCTGCTAAGTGTTATAAAGGAAGACCCAGGGTACTGTAAAAAAGTCTTAACGGGGACATCTAATTTGATTTTATGGGGAGTGTCAAGGAATATCTCCCTAAGAAAGTGATATTTAAATTGAAATCTGAAGGATGAGTAGGAATCTCCTAGGAGAAGAGCATGAGGGGAAACATTCTAGGAAGAAGGAACAATATCTGTAAACTCCCGAGGCAGGGAAGTCCATGGTGAGATCAAGGACTGACAGGACTGGAGTGTGGTTAAATGGGCAGGCAGTGCCTCTCCCAGTCCTCTGTTCTTTGTAGCAGCTTGACCTCCAATCACATTCTAACATTTTAGCAAATATAACTCAAGCCCAAAGTGCAGGTGACTTTTTTTCTTTAAAGATTTTATTTATTTATTTGACAGAGACACAGCGAGAGAGGGAACACAAGCAGGGGGAGTGGGAGAGGGAGAAGCAGGCTTCCCGCTGAGCAGGGAGCCCGATGTGGGGCTCGATCCCAGGACCCTGGGATCATGACCTGAGCGGAAGGCAGACACCTAACGACTGAGCCACCCAGGCGCCCCTTCTTTCTTTTTTTTCTGTGGTGTTTTGATTGTATATCTGGTTATGCTGGGTGGTAAACTTCTGAGTATGTCAAGTGTGCTATAGCTTTGTTTTCTATTCTGCTTGTTTTTTGTTTTGTTTTGTTTTTTGTCCTTTTTATTTTCCCAGATTGAGGTAGAGAGAAGTATGTATTCAGACCATGAGCTTCGTGCTTTGGATGAAGCCCAACGACTGGCAAAGAAGAAAGCTGACTTGTATGATGAAGAAGAAGATGAACAGAATATATTGCTGGTGCAGGATTTGGAAGATGTATGGGAGCAGAAATTTCTACAGTTTAAACCTGGAGCTCGCATAACAGGTTTGTGGTCTTTTCAGGCCAGCAAGAAATAAGGAAAAGGGGATATTTAGGTTCCCAGACAGAGGACATTTGCTTAGCCCCTGCTTTGTATTTTAAGTAGCAGATGATTGCAAAACTTCTTTCAGGTGGGAGAAAAATAAATTCTTTTCCCTGTTCCTCATTTCCAACCTAATATAATTTTTAAAGGCCGATGTTAGTTTTGAGTGGGAGGTAAGGGTGTTGTGATAACCTATTCTCTCTCAGTTAAACTTCATGAATGTTATCTGAGTTTACCTCCGAGTTTGGGAGTGAGAGTGGGGGGAAATTAAGCCTTTCCCGCTAGGGTTTCCTGGGTTTCATCTGAAATCTCTCCTAAAGCAGAGGATTGAGTTCTCTTACCTTTGTTTCACAGATGGAAACTGAAGAACAGAGAAAGCAGGGCCAAGTTAAGTCAGTAATAGTGTCAAAGCCAGTGAAGTGGTAGTGTTTGAAGTAGTGTGCGTATAGCTTCTTTTCCAACGGCTCAAAGTACCTTGCGTTGTGTTCTTCAAAGGAGAAGTTCAGCTTTTGGTTTTCTCTTCTTCTTACACTGTAGTTTTCTTAAGATTGTGAGACTCTACCCTGAAAGGGGTCTGAATTAGAGAGATGGGTCAGGGTCATAATTTGATTATACGAGGGTAAAGGTTGTAGCTCTACCTTAAAGGAAGACTGTAAAAACTCTCTTCTCCTTGGTTCTGGCAGATCACAGTCTTTTTGTCTTCTCTGATCCCCTTTTCTTCACAGAAGCCGATAAAAAGAATGACAGAACTTCACTGCACCGGAAGCTAGACAGGAACCTTGTTCTGTTGGTCAAAGAGAAGCTTGGAGACCAGGATGTTTGGATGCTTCCCCAGGCAGAGTGGCAGCCCGGGGAAACTCTCCGGGGAACAGCGGAGCGAACCCTGGCCGCGCTCTCAGGTGAGTTCTCTGCCTCTATCTGAAGCTCACAGGACTCCCTTCACACTTAGTTGTGGGATTTGCAGACTGACTTGTGAGGATGGCTGGAAGGATTGGAAGTGTGTCGTTAATGGGAACTTTGAAATCTATAAAAATTTCACCTAGAAAGAATTTTAGATCAGGTGAGAGACTTTGTCCCACTGAGATTTTAAAACTCTCTTTTCTTTTCTTTCTTTCCTTATAATATAGCATGTTGGTCTTATTGATGGTAGAAGAAACAATTCTTTCTTTCACTTGTAAAAAGTGTTTGCTTTATTGAACTCCATATTTTTTTCCATCCCTTGTGTGGGTTGAACTTTTTTCCTCCTAAAATCTACTTTTTCACTCGCTAAATAATATCCACCACAGTGGCTGTTTCTTCTGAAGGGAAAGCATGAGGTCTGACAACAGGATTTGATCTGGAAGTTTTAGTCAATGGTTCCTTCATAAAGACTCTGCTTGGTCTTAGCTCCAAGCTTGGGGAGGTTGGTAAAACTGTTGGGTTAGCTGAGTAGGTCCTCTTCTTTGGCCTTTACCTCCTCTGCGGAGCTCAAGAGTTTGGTTGTAGGTCCTTCCTCGTCTCGTGCCTCTCTTTGAACAGGCCGGTGTTGTGTCGGGGTGCTTCTTCGTGGTTTCCTCATTCAGCAAATTTAACAACTGCTCTCGTACCTGAAAAATGGAGAGCTTCAATTTCTGCTCAGTAAACCTTGTTGTCTCCCCAACAAAGTACAAAACGTTCATTTCCAGGTTTCCACAGTTGGCATATTCCACAGGAATAGATAATTCTAGTACCTTCTCGGGTTTAATTGGCCTACATCTTCCCTTGAGCCCATGATTGTAAGATATTTTATTGTCATGGGTAGCCATCGTGGGTCCTACTCACCTTCTCTTTAGTGGCATTTCTGTCTCTGTTTGGAACACGAGTGGAACAGTTCAGACAGGATTCCAGTCATCAGTATTTACAGTCAAATGTTTTTCAGTTTTTACACCACTGAAAGCTTCATTATTTATTGTTCATAAAAATGATCATGATTTGCTGTTTGGCTTTATCTTTTCCCACGTTTTTGATTAATTTAATATATGGATTATTTGAGGAAGTGGATTTTATTTCACCTCTTCAGAGGATGGATCTTTTCCTGATCTGCTCTGCATAGAGTTACCATTTTTTTTTTCTTTTAAGCAACATCATTGTGCTGAGAACTTAAAAGACATGAAGTGTGTTTAGTTCTTTCATATCTGGAATGTGGCCTTTCACTCAGGATTCTCTCTTTAGCCCATACTTCAGATCCTGAAGAAGTACTCGGTCTCTCAGAATGTCTCTGTCTGGGTAGTCCACTGCCTTCTAAAATTGACTTTTGAATTTTGAGTGTCTCTTTGAAAATGAGGACATTTTTCATTTTTTGGCAGTCTGGTGTCATTTTGAGAAAGATGTCTTGGTGACTCAGTATTTGACAGTCTGTTATCCCTGATAAAGCTGTTTCTGCTGTGATTTAGGTTCTGCCCCAGGGCCCAGCACAGGGGCCACCACCTGGAAAGTGCCTAGAGGTTTATTTGCTTATCTTAAAATGGTTGGCTTGAGGGGCACGCCTTCAATTCAACACACATCTCAGGGTCTGCTAAAATACCCCCGGGGGACGCAGGCTGGCAGGCACCATCCCTGTGCTCTCCTTGTCCTTGCTGAGATTTAAAAATTTAGTGTGTACTTTCAAAATTGACATCCTCTTGCTCTCAGCCTGCACCTCTTATCTTTGCGGCCTTGCTTACTGGCCTGACACTTAATGCATTTACCCAACTAGAGACCTCGGAGTTCGCTTTGACCTCATTCTGAGGTCCTGAAGTTCTCAAGTCCTGCCTGGTCTGTTCTCAGTATTTCTTTCTTTATTCCCACAGTGGTAGCTGTCATCCTTTTTGCTTCTCACCAGATCAGGTTTTCTCATCCTTGGCACTGTTAACATTTGGGGCCAGGGGATTCTTTGTGGGCGCTGTTCTGAGCATTGTGGGATGGTTGGCAGCAT